TGACTTTTTTATGTTTTTGTTGTATCGCAAGTGGTGCGAAGCTCCGCTTCGCCTCTGTCTAGAGATTTTAGTTCAAGTGTTTTATGACAACAACTTTTCTCGGCTTTTTTCTTTTTCTTTTCCTTCGGCTTGATAGGTTTTGGCTTATATTATATCGGTTTAATAGCCATAATGCGTCTTTCAACGAGCGAAAAAGAAATTATTGTCTGTGCGTGTCTGTGTTTTGAGGGTGAGGGAGACTTATTAACTTAAGTCTTGTTGATTTTTTTTCGGCTGAAAGGGTTTTTGCCAAGTTATTTTACGGCTTTGTTACCGCGGTAAAATTTCTTCCGATATTTATTTCACTTTCCATTCTCTTGGCATGTTTTTTAGGTGATAACTAGCCCTATATTTTTGATAGATCTAGTTTTTTCGACATTTTCGATTTTTTCGATTTCTGAGGTAGCGCCTTTCTTATTTTGTATCACCGTTTAGAATGAATTGTCTGCCGAACGTTTGGTTTTAATGAGCGATGTTTATTTTAAAACTTCATTTAATATTTACGCAGACAGTTAAACTTTGAAATTTAGGTTCATTGCATAGAGGATTTATTTGAGATTTATTGTTTTTTTTTAATAAAGAGTCATCAAAATGGTAACATCAAGATATATTTTTCTCTTTCTGCCTTTTTTAAATTAAAATTACTCCTCATTTACCTGTCAAATGGAAAGCAAATTACACTCTCCAATAAAAAGGAGAAAAAACTCAATTTTATTGCAAGAAAAAAAAATCGTTTTTCATAAATTTTGAGCATTTTTGAAGAATATAAATGATTTTTGACCTTATTTTGGCTATTGGTACTAAATATTGGAGCCAATATTCACACCTTTTTCCTCCATTCCCTCATGGAAAAAAACTACAAAACGAAAAGAAACCTCTGAAATGAAACTAAAGTAGCCAGTTGCTGTGCAGGTAGGACTGAATATTCCGACAAAATCGATACGAGAAAAGTCTAAAATGGTGAAGAAAAAATTGTCTCAGTTTTCTATTTGAATTAGGAAAAATGCAAGAAATATCGCAAATTATAGCAGAATAAGCTTCAAAAATGAGAGTTAAGCCTCTCATCTAACTTCATGTAAAACAAAATTTAAGTCGTACGAGTTTAATAAAACGAACGAAGTTTAGTCTGAAAAACGAAATATTCCAGACCTGGCACTGAGACAAATTTCTCGACACAGAGAGAATTTTTTCAAATCCATATCATGATGAAAACGGCTTCGATACAAAACTACACTTGAACTCTATTTTGAACCATATTTTCTTTGAAGTAGTCAATATTGGCCGGTAAACAACGACTGAATCCAAAGTCCCATTCCACTCTTCGAAACAACAAGATTAGACGGTGCTGTGCAAGTAGCATACAAAGTTCCGACCACAATAATAAAAATCGATTTTAGGCTCATTCGACAACGTTTTTTTTTTTGAAAAAGGTATGAAGCAGTTGAAAAACAATGAAAAAAGTTATCTTAACCTAATTAGGAGTCGATAAACGTAGTTCAGACTCTTATATAGGTCGCGATGATCTTTTTTTTTCAGGAAAATATTTAAAATTTGTTCGGGCTCAAATTTAGTTTTTCGCGGTTTGATTTCTTTACGCTTGCGATTAGCAACTGTTATTAAACTAGAATGCAGACCTTTTTTTGGGCGAATTACTTGGTTAACAGAATCACTTGAATCACCTGTGTCTTGGTTCATGATGAATTCAAATTTTTATGCGTTCGCGGCCAACTTAGGCTGGAGGTAGCGAATATGCCTGAGACTGCAAAGGTCCTGGGATCGAATCTGAGCATGACTTTTTTCAGTTGGGAATAATTCTGTTTGAAATAAAATTGTCGGTCAAATATTTTTCCGCTTATTTGTGTCGGCTTAGTTGTCATTTTTTGAGATCTTTTTTTTCTGCACGCTCGTTTTTTTATCGGGTTAACAACTTGTTTAACATAATCACTTGTATCTTTATTCATATTAAATTCATTTTTTTATGCACCCCAAGCCGATGTAGCCTGGAGGTAACGAATATGCTTTGGACGGCAAAGGTCCTGGGTTCGAATCTGACTAGGACCTGTTTTTTTTTTCAAACGGGAAATATTGTTTCAAATAAAATTTTAACTTTTTAGTTGCCTTCTTTTGAAAAAAATTCTTCAGCTCAAGTTATTTCGTCGTATTGTTTATCGGCTTAATGACCTAATTTTGAGTCATTTCAAGGGAAACACAACTTGAACATTGAACACTCCCCCGCACTTTCATGTTGGTTTTGTGTTTACCAATCGGTTTGTTGAATTTTTTTTTCTGATGGAAAATTATTTCCAAATTCACTGGAAAAATGCAAGTTTTTCTCGGAACATTCAAAAAAAGTGTATCAATTAAAAGACCGCTTACTCTCTTGTGTACCTGCATACTCCTCTAGAGTCTCTGTTTTTATCCCTCTGTCTAAAGCCTTCGAAAATATTTCTGTCCGATATTTGACCCATATTTTTGATATTTTCATACCCTTCTCAAATCTGAGTTTTTAGGTTCGATGATTGTAACGGGTTGGAACAACTGCCTGCATGAGCGGCTACGCTCATTTCTTTTCACATAAAGTTATGGCCCTCGAAATAGTCAAATTTTTGATTTTTGACTGTTTTTCTAAACTTTTCGAATATTTTCAAAAACTACGCTGCCATATTTGAGATTTCGGGTTCATTTCAAAGGACGCGTTTTGGCTAGCTCATTGGTTTAGCGAATACTCCCAAATTTTCCGGAAATCAAAAGTAATATCCCTCGGAAATGTCAAATTTTTTTTGACCGTTTTTTAGCGTTTGAAATTTTTCTTGCAATTCTCCCAAATCTGATATTTTGGTTTAATCAAAACTACACATTGAATGAATCTCTTCTGCATAAGTTGCTACGCCCTCTTTTTTCGCACAAAAAGCTAGGATTCTCGGAAATGTCAATTTTTTGATAAGTTGTCCGTTTTTTTGGACTTTTTGCGCTAACTATCCCGGAAAATCTGATATCATGGGTTTAATCGAAACAACAGGTTGTTGCAGGTTGTTGAAAGCCTTCTTTCTTTATGGCCTTCAAACTAAAAATTAAAACAAATAATTAAAAATTTTGGCCTTCAAACAAATTGAAATTTTTAAGCTTTGTTATCTTTTTGCAAACTTTTTGACTTTTAGCGCAAACTACCGTGCCAATTCTTCAGGTTGAGTGCAATCTAGAAACCCGGTTTTGGGAATCTTCTCTGCCTCTTAAGCGGCCACAATCTGCTCTATGCAGGAAAAATTCATGATTTTGGAAATCCTTTTGACCGTTTTTATAGAACTTCTTGACTGTTTTTTAGAAACTTTTTGAATTTTTTCTTAAATTTACGCAATCAAATCTGAGATTAAATGTTCAACTGAAAGAACCGCTTGCAATAATGATTCCCGCAGAAGCGGTGGTTTCTTTATTTTTCGTAGGAAAAACGTTATCTCTTTTGAAAATTGATTTTCTCATAGCTTTCTTACTCTTCTCACTTATTTTAGTAGAGAAGCATCAAAGATTTAGGGCAAAGTCCAATGTTCGACATCACATTTTTTGTGCCGCATCAGTATGTCAATTTCATTCAATATCAAAAGCATACCTCCAGCTGAGACCCTAGTAGTTTTATATCTAGGCATGCGAAAGTTTTGATTCACTTGTTTTTTCAACTTTTAAAAATTTTGTTTCGACTGATTTTATGTTTGTGTTGTATCGCAAATAGTGCGAAGCTCCGCTTCGCCTCTATGTTTGAAGTTAAGTTCAGTTTAATTTTTTTGTTGAAAAGATGGCAATATCTTTTATCAAACAGCACAAGTGTATATGTCACAAAAAACGTGATCGACTTCTAGTCTCGAAAGTGGAATTCAGCTTTCAGTTATCTCTGCGAAATCAAAATTTTACTTATTGATTGTTTTTTTTCTCAACCTGGGTTAATTTTATCAAAAAGGGCCGATCATGAATTGTTCTAAAAGTTCAGAGAGCTTCAAGGGAAGCTATTTTTCTCTTTGAAACTTGAAGGTTTTTTTTTGAAAAAAAAGTCAGTAATTATTTTTCTGTTTACTTCATTAGCTCTTTTCCAACTCTCTGTTGGCTATATTTAAGTAATTTTCATATAACGAATTTTACTCGAGCGCTTTACTCAATCTAATTTAGGTTAAAACGCAAAAACTTAGAACTGGTTCTTTTCAACACTGGATAAATTGTTTTGTCATTCGAATTACGGCTGAAAAAGATCAAATATGATATATCACCCGACCTGTTTCGATGATTTTTTGTGGTACCTGATTTTGTATTAAAGAAAAAACTAAAACACACCCGAAAGCAAAATTGTTCTCAATTTTCAATGATAGGAACAAACAACAAAAACGCACCCAAAGACGAATTTCCTCTCCAATTTAATGGTCGCGACACGGCACGAATCAGAGAGGTCACAGTTTTCTGTGCTACTTGGCCAGCGATTGAATTTTCTTCTTGATTTAGGAAACATATGTCTCGCGAAAAAGCTAGTGGAAACATTATTGACTAAAAGGATGCTTGTGTAACAGTACGAGACAACTTTTTTCAATACTTTTCCTGATTTTAATGCACAGCTTCATTAACATATTTAAAGTACACTCCTTAGAGCTAACTTTTTATGAAGAATAAAAGTTTATCTGCTTCTAAATTATCATTAACTTGGTTTAGAAAAAGCAAATTAATTGGGTGCATGGGTTAATGGGTTGTATCCATTGGCCGCATGTGTTCCAAAACTATCTAAGAACCATAACCCATTCGAACTCTTTGTTCATTTCAAACCTGAGTTTTCCGAATACAAGCAATTCAGCGGTGAAATTCACGTCATCATTTTATCGGTTTTTGTAATCGGGACCAAATTGTGACATCAAAGTCTCTCTTCTGATAAAATTCACAACTTATTCTTACATTAAATAACATCGTTAACATCATAATTTTTGTTATAGGAGGTGATCTCTAGTGAGTTTCTAAGAAAGCGCTTGGAAGTGGTTGGCGATGCATTCTTGAACTATAAAGTACAGAGACACATCATGGAAACGATAACAAGCTCTCAACTAGAAGATGCAAGTGAACTGCAGTCGTTGACTTCCAACGAGGTTATCGCTAAAAGAGCAGAGCAAAACGGTTAGAGATTTTCAGTGGGTGGATATGAATAAATTCGACAAAATTGTTGACATGATTTCACTGTGGAATATTTGAGACAGGGGCGGATCTAGGATTTTCTCGAGGGGGGGCGGATTTTCAAAAAAAATTCGAAAATTTTGACGACCTTTTTTTTTTTAGGTCGACCAAATTGATTTTTCGAGCTCTCCCAAAGCACTGTTTTGCCCCTATTTTGGCAAAATTTTCTGCGCCGCAGGCAAATTTTTGAAAAAACAGTCGAAAAAGCCGTTTTTGGGCACTTTTTGAAAAATTTTGACAAAAAAATCGCGTTTTTTTGGCGCGCGCTCCCCCTCAAAGTTAGTATATATTGACGCCAAAGGCGCCTTTAGAAAAAATTTTAGGGTCGGTCGGCCAAAAATGGATTTCTGAAAAAGTATCAAAGGTCTCCCAAAGCTCCCTTTGGGTCGGCAGTGGGTCGAATCCCTGAGGGGGGAGGGGCGTACGCCCACCCCCCCCCCCCCCCCCCGCCTCCCCCCCCCCCCTTAAATCCGTCCCTGATTTGAGAATAGTTAAGATTTCAAAAAAAAATATTTAATTTTTAATTGTTGTGCATAGATTCGAGCGTGGATGCGTGAAAACCATTTATTTGGTGTCTTAAAACCATTTCATTATCGCTTATTTTCTTCCCCGGCAAATGAAGCGTAAAGCTGCAAAACATCCCTAATGACACTGAATCCAATTTTCTCTTTTTTGCTATAATAATTTGGCCACTTTAATTTATATTTGTCTGTGACTAGACAGTCATCGATTTTATTTGCCACTCCAAAGTTAAGTTCTTCTGGTTAAACTGCGCGATTATTGATTGGTTATCGAAAGATTGAACTTATACCCCAGAGTTTATTGGAATAGGCATAAATACAAATTTTCAGTTTTTGTAAATACCTTCTATGCGTTGTGATGAATTACGCTTGCGAGCTTTTTTTTTTGTTCCGACCATTGAAAATGGGTAAAAACTTTGTATTCGGGTGTGTTTTAGTTTTTTTTCCACCCTAAATCAAGTACCACAATTGATGATCGGAAAGAGTTTAATGATATCCTTACTCTTGGGGCAAGCATGCGTTTTGCAATCGGGTTCTAGACTTTTTTCCCGTAAACAACTTCGTCCACAGGTATCAATTCTGGGCTCCTTCACCACTTCTTCCTCTTTGCAAATCCTACTCCTCTCGGTTGCAAATATTAAGCATGGTTGAATTTTTTGTTAAAAATCCGTCCTGCATAGTGACCTAAACTTGAATAGTTACAACGGAAACATAACTTTTATGCTAACCTCTGAATCGCACAAATTGCTAAAAAATCTTAATAGAAATTATAGTTCACGTTTTTTATGACAACAATTTTTTTTCGGCTCGATAAGTTTCAGCCTGTATTATATCAATTTAATGGCAGCATATTGCGCTTTTCGATGGGCGAAAAAAGTTTGTGCGTGAGTATCTGTGTTTTGATAGTGAGGGGGACTTCATAACTTCTTACTAGTCTCAAAAGTTTTTTTTTAATCTATCTTTGTGTTTTTTCTTTCTTTTTTCGACGTGATAGCTTTCGATTTATTATACACCGGTTTAGTCGCCTCACATTGCTTCGTTTCATGAGCTGTTTGCGTGTTTTGAGGGTGAGGGGACTTAATAACTTTTTATTAGTCCTATTTTTTTTGTTTTTTTTAATCGGCTTTGTTTTTTTTTAGCTTAGTAGATTTCGGCCAATATTATATCGGCATAATTGCCGCAAAATTCAAGTTTAAGTACTGGGTGGGTACTTGTTTTTACATGGTAGTTTCAGGGGATTTTTGAAACATTTAAAAGTGTTTTTTTTTTACTTAATCAGTTTTTTTGTCTCAACTGGTGTCTGCTCGAAGTTTGTCGGCCTTGTTTCCGTTTGGAAAGTTTTGTTCATTTGCTAATTTGAATTTGAAGAATGGCCTTATCTTCAGTTGTTTCAAGGGAAACATAATTTTTGTGCTCAACTCTGAATCGCGCAACATCCTAAAATTCCTAACAGAAATTATAGTTCAAGTTTTTCATAACAACATTTTTAATCGGCTTTTTTGTTTCTCCTTCTGTTTTCTGGCCTGATAAATTTCGGCTTGTATTATATCGGTTTTCTGGCTGCATATTGCGCCTTTTGAGGGGCGGAAAAAGTTTGTGTGTGAGTAACTGCGCGGTGAGAGTGAGGGGGACTTCATAACTTCTTACTACTCTCAAAAGTTTTTTTTTAAATTATCTTTGTGTTTTTCTTTCTTTTTTCGACGTGATACCTTTCGATTTTTTATACACCGGCTTAGTCGCGTCATATTGATCCGTTTCATGAGCTGTGTACGTTTTTTGAGGGTGAGGGGGACTGAATAAATTTTTATCAGTCCTAATTTTTTTCAATCGGTTTTTTTTTTCTATTTTTTTTAAAGCTTAGTAGGTTTCGGCCAATATTATATCGGCATAATTGACGCAAAATTCAAATTTATGTACTGGGTGGGTACTTGTAAGTACATAGTAAATTCAGGGGAGGTTCGAAACATTTTAAAGTGTTTTTCTACTAAATCAGTTTTTTTTTGTCTCAACTGGTGTCTGCTCGAAGTTTGTCGGCCTTGTTTCAGCTTGGAAAGTTTTGTTCAATTGCTCAATTGATTTTGAAGAGTGGGCTAATCTTAGTTAGTTTCAAGGGAAACATAATTTTTGTGCTCACCTCTGAATCGCACAACATCCTAAAATCCTAACAGAAATCATAGTTCAAGTTTTTCATGACAACAATTCTTATTCGGCGTTTTTGTTTCTTTTTTCCGGCCTGATAAGTTTCGGCCTGTTTTATATCGGTGTATTGACCGCATATTGCGCCTTTTGGTGGGCGGAAAAAGTTAGTTTGTGAGTATCTGTGTTGTGAGAGAAGGGGACTTCATAACTTATTACTAGTCTTATTTAAAAAAAAATTAAATTTTCTGTGTTTTTTCTTTTTTTTTTCTCGGCGTGATAGCTTTGGACTTATTATACACCGGCTTATTCGCCTCATTTTGCTTATTTTCTTAGGCTGTGTAGGTTTTTTAAGGGTGATGCGACAAAATATTTTTTTATTAGTCCTATTTTTTTGTTTTTTTTTAATCGGCTTTGTTTTTTTTTTAGCTTAGTAGATTTCGGCCAATATTATATCGGCATAATTGCCGCAAAATTCAAGTTTAAGTACTGGGTGGGTACTTGTTTTTACATGGTAGTTTCAGGGGATTTTTGAAACATTTAAAAGTGTTTTTTTTACTTAATCCGTTTTTTTGTCTCAACTGGTGTCTGCTCGAAGTTTGTCGGCCTTGTGTCTGCTTGGAAAGTTTTGTTCATTTGCTAACTTGAATTTGAAGACTGGCCTAATCATGAGTAGTTTCAAGGGAAACATTATTTTTATGCTCACCTCTGAATCGCACAAATTGCTAAAAGTCTTAATAGAAATTATAGTTCAAGTTTTTCATGACAACAATTCTTATTCGGCGTTTTTGTTTCTTTTTTTTTCGACCTGATATTTTTCGGTTTGTGTTAGATCGGTTTAATGGCCCCAAGTTGCGCCTTATGATGTGACAAAAAATTTTGTGTGTGAGCGTCTGTGTTTTGAGGTCGAGGGGACTTCATTGCTTTTTTTCAGCGTGGTAGTTTTCGGCCAATATAATATCGGCTTAGTGGCCGCAAATTTCAAATTTGAGTACTGATTGGGTACTTACTGAGGTGTTTTGGGCTTTGTTACCCCTTGATAACTTTTCTTTTGGTGCTAGTTTCTATCATCTTGGCTCGTTTTCGTTTCAAAATTAGCCTTATCGTTAAATCTAGTTTTTTCAAAGTGTTAGAATTTTTGTCGACGTAGCGGCTTTCTTTTTTGTTTCTTTGCATAAAAATTTCTTTTGTTCCTGATTCGAACGACAGTAAAAATTTTTTTGTAAAATATCCTAATTTCGAGAAAAACGGGTTGGCAATTTTTGTGTTTTACTATAAGTTCGAGCGAGTATAGCAATCGAAAAACGTTTGTTATATAAAAGTTGGTGAATAAGGCCAATAAAACATGAATTTGCCACAAAGAAAGCTAGTTTTGGAGCTTCATTCAGCGCTTGTTTGGCAATACAATTCTTTAAAAAAACTGCAATATTGTGGAAAAGAAAAAAAAATAATTTTTACGCTTGCAATTAGCAAGCGTTAAGAAACGGAACGTAGATTTTTTTCGGGTTAACAAAGAGTTTAACGAAATCAGTCTAATCAGTTGACACGCTCAATTCTCTTCACTTGGCGTGCTCCTCAGCTGACATGCTCAAATTCATGAAAATTCAAATTTAAGTACTGGGTGTGAACTTGATACTGCATGGTAGTTTCAGGGGAGACTTGGAACTTTTGTAATCTTTTGTAATTTTTTTTTTAGAAAATCAGTCTTTTTTGGCTCAACTGGTGTCTGCTCAAAGTTTTGTTTAATTGCGAAATTGATTTTTTAAATTTCTTGCTTAGGATGTTTACCTAGAGTTCCTTTTTTTCAAAATTTCATAAATTGTATTTTGAAAGTGTATGGGATGGGTTTTTTTCTTTGAGACGGTTTGGAAATTTTCAATACTTTTTGCAAAAAAAATAGTTTTTTTTCTCAAAAACCCTTCTTCCGATTTTCAAAAAGAGGTATCCTTAGAAATACCGCCTATCTTGTTTGCCTGCAAACTCTTCTTGTCTTTTTTTTGCTTTGTCCCTTTGTCTACAGACTTTGAAAAATCTGTCGGGGGAATATTTGACAGATGTTTATGATTTTTTTTTCTCAAAAACTAAGCTACGAAATGTGAGATTTTGTTTTCAATTGAAAAAACGGATTTGAAAAGCTCCCATAAGTATGCGGTTATGCCCAAATTTTGTACACTTGATATTTTGGCCGTCGGAATTGTCAAGTTTTTGATTATTTTTACCGTTTTTTATTTTTCTTAACTTTTCTCGAAAACTTATGTCCAAGACCTGAGGTTGTTGTTGTTGTTGGTTCAATGGATATATTAAGTTTTTAATGTTTTTGTGCGCTTTTTCGAAATTTTACGAAACTTACCTAAAAATACCTTCTCATGAGATTTTGGGTTTTATCGAAAGAATTGATTAAAAGAAGCTCCTTTGAATACGGGATTACGCCCAATACGGGATTTGAATACGGGATTAATAAAAAGTTCTGGCCCTCGGAAAAGTCAATATTTTGATTTTTTGACCGTTTGTTGAAAATTTTCTCCAGAACTGCCTGCAAGATCTAGGTTTTTGGGTTCAATCGAAATAACAGTTTGGTTGAATTTCCTCGGCATAAGCGGCTACGCCCAATTTCTTTTTTTAAAAAGCTATGATTCTCGGAAACTTTTCGACAGTGCAGGTTGTTGGAAGCTTATCTTTATAATTTACTCCGCCCAGTGTTTTCCAGAAAAAGGTTGCGACCTTCGAACAAATGAAAGTTTTGAAGATAGGACCGCTCTTTGGATGTTTTTTGGCTCCACTCGAAAATTACCGTGCCAACTTCAGGTTAAGTGTTCAATCGATCGAGAAGCCCGATTTTGGGAATATTCTCTTTTTTACCGGTCGCGGCTTGCTTTTAGCAGAAAAAGTTATCGATTTCGGAAAATCAATTTGTGAACTTCGACCGTTTTTTTAGAAACAATTCGAATTTTGTTAAAACTACCCTAAGAAATCTGAGATGAAAATTTAGCTGAGATCTAGATGACCTTCATCGAGATTTACAAAAGTTTTGGCTACCGAATGTTTTTTAACATTTTTTCCGACTTATGCTTTTTATGGTTGGGTTATATTGCAAGTGGTGCAAAGCTTTGCTTTGTCTCTCTGTATATAAAGAATTGTTAAAAAACCTTTTCCCATTTTCTTCTTTTTTTTTCAGTTTTTGAAGACATCTGTTGTCAATTAGGCGTAATTCACTTTTTTCCAGGTGTTTTTTTTCAGTTTTATCATCTTACCACGCACAAAAAGCATAGCAATGTAATGAAAAACATTTATATGTTTGTTATGAATGAAGTTTTTTTGTAGTTTTTTATGATTGTGGTGGAACATTCGGTGCTACTTGTACAGCCAACGGCTATCCTTGTTTCAAATTGGAAAATTTTCCATTTCAAAAAATTGTCCGATTGTTTTGTCGGCTTAGTTGCCACATCACGGAGCTTTCTTGTGCTGTAAGCAATTTTTAGAGTTGATGAAGGTAGTTCAGACTCTTATATAAGTCTTGGTTTTTCCCCTTCAGGTGGAGTCTTAAAATGTGTTCAGGCTCAAGTTTAATTTTTTTTGATTTTGTGTCGAAAACTCAGCTGTTTGTACGTTGGTATTGTCCCTCTCGGATGACTGATCTGAATCTCTTGATTAAATATGATAATAAAAAGACTACTCGTATCAGGCGAAGGTCTGAATGTCTCGACTGCCCTCTGAGATATCTGCAGAAATTAGCTTTCTAAAATTCATGAAACGTTCAATGTAAAAAAAGTTGAAAAAACCAAAATATATGCTTTAATGACTGAAAACTGCCTATTTTGTACAAATTAGCAAAGCGATTTGCAAAACAGTAATTCTGATAAAAATTGAACAAATTTTTTAATCACTTCGAGTCTGAAGAGGAAAACGGGTTAAAATTTTCAAGTTTTGTTTCATGTGTGGATATTTTCTATCAACTCGTTAATATGTTTTGTATTTATGCGTTCATGATTTTACCCCTTTCATTCATTTATTTGTTCAGGACTCATCGGACTGGTGCATTCAATCACCAGTAGCAACTACTCCTTGAAGAATTTGCCTTTACTTCTCGATCTCTCACTGACCGAATTTGTGAAGTGCAAATGTCCAATAACATCATTGGATTCTTGGCATTACAAAAAGAAATTTGCAAACGTATTTGAAATATTGGTAGGGCTGCTGATCGTGCAACATCAACACGAAAAGAGAGCATCAACTTTCGTTGAAACATATCTTGACATCCCGAAAAAGAAAATCAAAAGGTCTCGAAAGTTCAATCCATATAGAACTTGCTATTCGATTATTTCAGAAAATCAGGAGACATCTATTGGAAGTGATCTTACATTGAATTTAAAACACAGATTCAAACGTCAAGCGTTTCTAACAGCTGCTTTGAATAAAAAAAATCCTACTGAAGAGTTCTCATTTCTGAAGTATTCAGGAAATGCTGCGAATTTTTCGTTGACTCTGAAGTTGCTGGGCGGACATGCTCTTAGGTATGTTGTGACGCGCCATCTTCTTTCCTTTGAGTTTCTATCGGCCCATGCCGTGGATGAATTGCGGCGAAATGTTTTGTCTCATGCGGCAAAGTCAAGAGCTGCTGTATCATTGAACCTCCATGTGTATGCGAAGAACAACCTGCATTTGGACTTCATTGCACCTGAGGCTCCAACACAGAATGTCAGTATGATAATGCTTTAGTTTTTCTGATGGTGATGCTAGTTTCATATTTGCTATTAAGAATAAACTCGTGTTTATTCTTTTTTGGACCGTTCAAAACGTTGTTTTCTGCAATGGTCAATTACAGTTCTGATCTGCAAATATTGGGAATATATTTGATAGCTCCCTAAATTGGTCGTAGTATTTGTCAACTAAGCGGCGATTTTTCAGGACAAAAGAACCTAAGGTTTCTGACTGCGAGTCTTGTGATTTGAATATGAAATTTTGTGCCTGAAGTTTGTGCAATACTATACCTGAATAGGATGAGGCGAAGGCGAAAAAGCTCTGGTAGCCATTTTTTGTCAAAAGAAGGTTCATTTGTGGCGCTATTTTTCATTTGACTGAATCAATTTTCGAGCGGCTGTTTTAATAATTTCTCCTAAGTCTCGTGAGTGCCAATGTTCACTTTTTAGGGCATATCCTTGCCGTTAAGTGCAAGTTTTTGGCGTTAACTTTCCAAAGAGTGCTCAAAAGAGCCATTTTGCTTCAAAAACGCCTGAAGCTTAGCTAATTTTTCCAATAAAAAAAGCCAGCGAAACTAACCGAAAAACTCACCTCCGAAGGCACCTGGTTGAAGCAAATCGCAGATGTACAAATGAGAATCGTTTTGCTGTTGCTTTAGTTTCAACTGGGAGCCGCAGTTCACACAGAAGAAACCATCGAGCCCAAAAATAGGTCTCTATCCAGTCTATTTGACGCTGTAGCTGGCGCTGTTCTGTTGGACATAAAATATGACCTACAAAAATTTAGATCCATCTATTTGGACTTATTTCAGCATGAATTGACACATTCAATGAGACCGTTCCAGGAGAGTGGAAAGAAGCGCTTTCCACGTTTAAACAGCAACAGTGCGAAGAAAACCAAAACTCTGAATTAACTCGTAGATCATCTCCGAAAGGTAAATGATAAATTCTGAACTAGCGGATTAGGGATTTCACTCCCTTCACCCTAATGGGATCCCCATATGCTATTAGAAGACTCAATAGGTTCTCTCCTATTGTATGAATAAACTCTCGTATTGTTGTATCTTTAGTCTATCGAAAAAAGTTTTCGTATTTTGATAAACAACATTCTGTTGTGTACATTTATGATTATTACAGTGTCCGAGATATGACGGTTTTTATGGTTTTTTCAAAAAATTTCAGAAAGTTTTAGTTATTTTTTTGTCGAAATTTGAAAAGCCTAATACTGTAGTTAGGGACTGTCGTGGTACTCTCAGGAGTTTCGTGTCTTGCCTCCAAAAATGACTGCTCAAATCTATGTAGTTTTCGAGATATGACGTTTTTAGTGATTTTTTTTTTTCAAAAAAATTTTGAGAAAGTTTAATTTTTTTCTTCAAATTCTGAAATCCCCAATCCTGTAGTTCGGGGTTGTCAGAGTACTCTGAAGGATTGCAAATCTTGCCTCCCAAGATGACTGCTAAAATGTTTTGAGTATCCGATAAAGACGTTTTTAATGATTTTTAGAATCAGTTTTAGATTTTAAAAACTTAACAAAATTTGAAGTTGCCAACCTATAGTTGCACAAACCCCTGAGAGCACAAATCTTGACTTCCTGCTCAAATCCTTTTAAGCTCCGTGAAGTGACGTTTTCGTGAGTTATCAGAAAAGGTATAAAAAAAATCGGGGTACTATCAAGTATCGCAAAACCTGCTTCCAAGTATGACTGCTCGAATCATTTTGTTTTTCAAGGTATGATATTTTTTATGATTTTTCGAAGTTTTTTTAAAAGTTTAGATTTAAAACATTTCATTAACTTTGAAGTTCCAAAACTTTTAGTTGGGTGGTGTTAGTGTACTCCTCTCAAGAGTTCCAACCCATGCCTCCGAAATCGACTGTGCAAATCGTTATAGTTTGACTTTTTTATGGTTTTTTAAAGTTTTCGATTTCGAAAATTTGAAGTTCCCAACCCTGTAGATGGATGTTATCAAGGTATTTTTAACGATTGCAAATATTAACTCCAAATATGGCTGCTCAATTTTTTTTATTTTCCGAAAAATGTTTATTTTTTATTCATTTTTTAAAAAATATTTCAAAGAGGGATAATTTTTCAAAAAATTCACCGAGTTTGAAAATTTCTAAAATTCAAGAGGCCATTACAGATTTGAAAATGAACAATTGAACAATTGCGCTTATTCGGTTCTCATTTTTAAAAACGTTTCGTAACGAATTTAGAAATTCTCAAGTATTTGTTTCTATACTCATGATACATTTAACCCTTTATTTACATATGCGGCGCGTCATGTAATACTACAATGCTACTTAACATTTTTTTAAACAAAGTCGCAAATATAATTTTCACTTTTGCTGGCCTTTTTTGGAGACTGAGTTGCTTTTTGTTTTATCAGCTTTGATATTTGATTAATACTAAATTAACAGCTGATCCATTTTAATTAATCGATTGAACCAAAGCAAATAATTAATTTCATACTTCTTATCTGTGATAAAAGTTTTTTGCTTATACCTTACAACTCAGTGAATTTTGCGAAGTTTTTGAAAAATGTATATTTTGTACACAATTTGTCTTTATACTTTCCAATTTATTACATTCAACGTTACCGTGGTTGCCTTCAGTTTCTTACATTCCAAATTATTACATGAAGTTTTGCAGCTCCCTTTGAAGTTTTCTCTTTTTGTTTGGTTTCTATAGGCGTTGATTGTGGCAGTCATTGGGACTCTTTATTATTCGAGGACTGAGGCTCAACTACTGCAAAAGTTTTTCAAATTTCATTAAGTTTTTCATTTTCTTCTTTTTAGACCCTTTTAAAGTTGCTTCTTGGCGTTTTTGCTGGTGTTTGAGAAGAGAAACTTTGCTTCTGTGTAATTTTTGTAGTCTATCCATTTTTTGATACGGACATTTTATAGGTCGAATGAAAAAACTGGTATCAATCTATTTCGCTTTTACCCCTGTTTCATCAACTAAGCTCATGAAAATATAGAGCAGGGCTGAAAAAAAATTGGACTGAGGGATTGTTCAAAACTATACAGTCAACATAGATAATCTTAATTTTCGAACTTACATCAATCCACCAAAGAGTCAACAATCTGAGATCTGCAGATGTAATTTTTTTTTTGAAATTAGGTTTTCCAAAAATTTCTGAAACATCATAAATTTTTTAACTGCAGAACCATAAAAGTTCCGAGCTGTCAAAAGTGGAGCCAATATTTGCAACTTCTGAGAGCACCCCGATAGTTTTGTGCTTCCATCAGTTGCTGATATGGCCCTCATCCAATGGCTGCTTAAGTCCTTTTAGTTTCCGAGATATGACGTTTTTATGAGCTTTCAAAATTTTAAAAACTCTAATTAATATAAGCTACTTTTCGAAATTTAAAGACTCATTCCTATGGCGGTGTGATCTCAAGTTTTGCAGTTATGGGCTCAAAATTATCTGCTCAAATCCTCTGATTCTTCGAAATTTGAAGTGATTTTTTTTCAAATTTTTTTTTAATTCACAAAGTTTGAAAGCTCATCCCCATGTTGTGCGGTGTGATGGTACTGCCGGACTTTTCATACCTGGTCGATAACTATGACTGGTCAAACTTTTCTAAGAAAAGAGGGTCTTTAAATCCAATTTTTCTTAAAACTAAGATACTTTTTCAAAAAAAAACAGTATGATGTTTATAGGTCAGTTACACTTGGTTAAATAATTTATAGGGAACAAATTCCAAGTACGATAGGGACAGTGTTTAAATGAAAAGTGCGAATATTCTAGAAATTTTCTTTAATATAAAGTTTGGATGAATATCAACATACAATAGCTTTATTTAGGTCAAGGAAAAATTTCTAGAAAGTTTTTTTGAAATTTTGAACGTCTTTTGATGAAGTTTCTAAATTTCAATCAATATTGTCAAATTTACCTCTTTTTTTAGTTTTTTTTAGTTATTCGTCTACTGTATTTATAGCTATTCCTCTTACTTTTTTTTGCAAAACAACTGGTACGATGGTTTCGTTGAAATCTAAATACAGCTCTCATACTGAAAAATTTATCGATCGATGGCTTGTTAGAGTTTTGGGTGCGAATCAGATCAAGCGATGGAATTTTTTTTTTCAAAAGTCCGTCGCTTGATAGCTTGCTTCAACAATTTTGCGAACCATAATAAATTTTTTCAATCTTTTTTTTGAGTAGCTTGATTGGAATCGAAATATTGAAAAAGGCCTGCTTGTAAGTTTATTGTCAACTATTTCTGATGAACGGCGTAAGATTTTTTAAATGAGTTTATGAGGTTCATATATCTGAAATTCTCTCACATAGCTTAATTTGTTTTTATCTCTAAGATATCGGAAACTAACATGTTTGATTAATTTGAAGAAACTTCGTCTCGTCAGTTCTTTTGTTTTTATTGTTCTAAATCACTTTAACTTGTTGTTCCTTATAATACAACGCCATATTGATAGTTGCTATTGTTTGAAATAAAATTTTAGTCTACAGATCATAAAAAAGGGCTTCCTTAAAATTCAATTTGGTATCGAAATCAATTTCAAAATATTTTGCCGAAGATTTGTTGCCAAGATTTCTGCGGTTATACATTGGTTTCGATGAGTCAACCGATTTCGTCTGATGAATGTTCGGTTCTTTTATTACTTTCAACTTAACGCTAGAGAGAACCAATTTTACTACTCATCTTTATTGAAAGTTGATTTACTCTCTTTGAACCAATCTTCCACACAGTCGAAGTCTAATTTATATTCTTTTAATGTAACTGTTAAATTCACAATTTTGCCGACATCTTCAAAAATTAAATGCTTTGCATGATCCAAACGAGCCGGCAAATCATAAATAGGAGTGGACCTACTACAGAGCCTTGAGGAGCTCTATCGTTTACTGATCTAATATCAGAAAATTTTCATAAATGTACTTAACTTGTTATCTGTTCGAAAGATAGGACTCCAAAATTGTCAGAAATTTTTCTCCGAGTCCAATATAAACCGCCTATTTTTAACAAAACAGTATAATCAGCAATATCAAATGCTTTGTGTGAATTAGTTTGTTTTTATTGTCCCGACTTTCGATACGAAAGTAACGGAATATTTGTGCTCGGGGTGGGTTTTTTTTCTTCAGACAAATTTCGACTTTTTAACTAGCCATTTTTGACGGAATTTTTTTTTATCATTCGAAAGCTATTGTTGTCCTGAGCTTAAATTTGAAAAGAGATTTCACCTGTGATCATTTTTCGTAAAGTTATGAGGGTTAAAAGATGGCCATTTGGACCAATTTGGGACAATTAACACGCGATATAATTCGCGCTATTAACGCGTAAGCGGAGTTATTACAGCTCCATAAACATTAAAAGGCAGTCGGAACTTTCCGGGCTTCGCCCTGATACGAGCAGTCTCGTTCGTTTTTGTTCTTACATCTTCAATAAAATCTATATTTGAGTCTTTAGTGCTGCGGTTACTGTGAAACTTCAATAAAATCTATATTTGAGTCTTTAGTGCTGCGGTTACTGTGAAATTGGTTTTTTGTTGAGATTTTATATTTTTCAATCGAGCAAGTTATGCGTTTGTGCAGTATTTTCCGAGAAAATTGTTCGCAATCGGCAATAAATAAATCGGTCTACAATTTGGCGCATCAGAAAAGGTGCCAGTTTGTGAATAAGGACTAATTTTAAAGTTTAGAATGAAACTGGAAAATAACAGTCTGTGCATATAGATGGATTTTATGAAATATTACTTGAGTAAGCTATGTATTCATTTTTCAAAGAAGACAAGACTGCTCGTATCAGGGCGCAGCCCTGAATGTTCCGACTGCCTTTTAAGGTTTTATGGAGCAATAATAACATTAAAAAATTAAATGTAAGAAAAAATAAAATGAAAATTTTTTTTTCTAAAAATTGAAATTTTTTATGAAAATTATCACCCCACACGCCATATAAAGTACAAAAGGCTAGATTTCACTCC